GGTCACATGGTACAGGGCCATTCACAACAGCCTTGTACCATGTGATAAGCTGTGACCAATCATAGCTCTCATAGTATTTCTCAATGGCTGCAGAAATGATTATTAATTTGCTAAATTTTATAAGAAAAACACTTTTTATCAAAATTTTTGGACTTTTTCATTTATATAGCAAAAAAAAAAAATCCCAGTGGTGAATAAATACCACCAAAATAAAGTTTTATCTGTCTCAAAAAAAAAAGCTAAAAAATTAAAAATTCATATGGGTACAGTGTTGCATGACCGTGCAATTTTCATTCAAAGTGTGACAGCACTGAAAGCTGAAAATTGGCCTGGACAGGAAGGGGGTGAAAGTGTCCGGACAGGAAGTGGTTAAGGCCTAGTCATTATTGATCACCTCCTCCATCCCAGGAGTGAGCTCTCAGACGCTGACCTCAGAGCTACTACATCAGGGGAGAGTATGTAAGGGGCTCTGATTGGTAGAAAAAGCTCACTCCTGTGATGGTGGAGATGATCAGTAATGACTAGGCCTTAGCTATTTTCTGGGTATACTTGGCAACATCATGGGAGTATTCCAGTCAGGGTTCATGAGGTACATAAATGGCCGACACCTCAGAGACACAAGAGTTGTTATTACCGACAGACAACTCTTAGCTACATAGGCAGGTTTCTGGTAAAGGTGAACCATTTATGGAACCCAAAACCAAGCAATGGTTGCTATTTCCGAAAAAAAAAAAAAAAAGAATGAAAACACCACATTTTGTAAGCAGCATTACATTACTGATGGGGTTTTTATACCGCTACACTTTAGTTTTGTCCTGATTTTCTCCCTGTGATGCAGTGCTGGATAAACAATCGACCTTTCAAAGCGCCATCATATAGAACTGCCCGGTCAGGGACTCAAGATGACAATTCCTCCCACTGACCATTGATGCCTCAGATCTGATCACGTGAACTGCTATTTTGGGGGCTTCAGACTTTTAATGTTTTTTTTCTTAATGGAACATGTAGTTCTGTGGTGATGTTTACCAAAAAAGGTTGTGACACTGAGCCAGGCACAATTTATTTTTTGATAGATTGGAGAGGGATTAGAACACTTCTCAGTATTTATTGCTGTCTGTGGCCCCATTTGGAAGATTGAACCTCTCTTTGTCCCGTTTACCATAATCCTTACAAGTAAAAGTAAATTTCCATCCAAACTTGGGTTGTCCAACAACAGTGAGATGGGAAATCTTCCAATGGGGACATTAGTTCTAAGACAACCAGGGATTGCCTGATTTTACAGAGATTTTTTTCTCCCCTTCTGTTGTGGCAGTGGGACAGAAAGTGAAGGTATATATATCTCCCCTATGGGACACATATGGCAAAAACAATTGAAAGGGGTTCTAGAATTGTATCCAAGAAGAAAATAAAAAAATTGCACATAGATCTACTTTAAGTAACAACTTCTAGGTGTTATCATATGCTGGTATGCACATTGTAGGGCTTGCCCATTGTGGTGCCCAGTGGGTCTTCTTGCTGACCTGCATTTGACTACTATATCCTATAACATGGGTGCTCACCCTGTGGCCCTCCAGCTGTTGCAGTACTACTAGTCCCATGAGGCATTGCAAGCCGCTGACAGTGCATGACTCTCAAAGAAGATGATGGGACTTTTCCACAATAGCTGGAGGGTCATAGCTTGGGCACCCATGTGTAAGGAGTGGAGGTCAACAGCTGGAATTAGTAGCCAGTCTAGGGTGTCACAGAAGATCAACAATCCTGGAAGTGTCAGTCTCAAAAGGGAAATATTGTAAGCTTCATTTTCACTTTTTTTTTGTTTTTTTGTTGTTCTGACTCCACATCTTAGCATTTTTTTGTGGAATACCAGAGGATGAATGCTGACCTCTAGGACTTTCACCTTCTTGGAGTGCTCTGTTGGAAGGAACACGCACTACAGGATAGAGGAACCTGATAATCCTGGGGTAAAGGTGTGAAATGTATACGTTGATGTTATTATATGCGTTCGGAGCGTACGGTTCTACATTTTAAATAATGGTCTGCTATGTTTGTAATATTTTGCACTATTTGAACATGTGGATTTTTGGATAAATGATACTATGTCTAGTAGGAGATGGAAAATTGTTCCTGAAAAGTTCTCTTTTGCTGTGAATGAAATAAAATATGAAAATTGTTTTCTGTTGTTTTTTAAATTACTTTTTACTGGTAATAACTATTCCCCTATGAAAAAGATGTGTAAAGCGAAACTTCACACTGCCGCATGGAGACATGGATGGGGGAGTCGGATTTGAATCAGAACAATGAACTATATAGCAGCTTAGGGTTGTGGTGCCCAGATACAGTATAGTTCTGATTCTCAGGTATATTGGAGTTTATAATCCCTGTACAGAGCAAATATCAAAGAGCGACTATTTACTTGTACACAATTATATGAAGTATAGGGTTCAGAACTTCAAACAATAGAACAAAAAGGTTGAACAAGGAACACATATTCAAAAAAATGACTTTTATTGCATAATAAACATGACTACATTTCATCGTCACAACACTTTTTGGAAAAACCTCCCAGCAGAACAGGAAAACAAGACATTGTGAACTCTCTCATACACCTAGTGAAGTGAGATACATTCTTGTGACTTCTATCAGTGTGTAGAAGAGCACTGGTTGTTATATGCGGCTACAGGACCCCTGACCCTCTGTCTGGACAATGCCGATAGGCCCTGTGCTCATTACATGCACTCTCACAAGAATAAAACAAACCTTAACAATACACACCAAACTGAGCATGTGCAAAATGCCTATGGTTCAGTCTGTCTTATCAGGAGATAAGAGGTGGTCACTTGAAAAAGGGGAGGAACAGACAAGGGAGGATCAAAGGGCCTTTTTACACAATGCAGAGGATTAACCCCTTAGGTTCCACAGTGAGTATAACAAGCATGCTTTACTGCATATACAGGCTGATTGTACTGATGTGGGTTTGGAAACACATTAAACAACTTAACAAAACTATTTCAGTAAGTAGAGACAATTACACTTTTGAATATTGCCATGGGATTTCTCCCTCTGGTGACATAAAATAATTGGCAAACTCCTCCCTGATATTGGACGCCTGGTGGGTACCTCGTGCACTATGCCAAACATCACCCTGCAGATCATGCGTCATGTGCGAGGCATCCAAATTAATCCCCTCTCTCTGACGGACAAGATTGTGGAGTGCACAGGCACTTTTAACAATAGTGTGAACATTAGCGGGATCTAATTGCATTGCACCTCTAAAGATTCTCCACTTATTTGCTAATATGCCGAAGGTGCGCTCCACCAATCACCGAGCTCGTGGTAGCCGATAACTAAATACCTTCTTCTTCAAATCCAGGCCTCTTTAGGATATGGTTTCCTTGCTGAACTAGACAGTGAAAATGTCTCATCGGCCAGTAGTACATAGGGTAGGTGCTGTCCATTCTCTGTTATAGGCCGAGGGGATGGTATATTGAACCTTCCTTCCATTATCCTTCCCATGGTTGAATTGTAAAACACTTGCGAGTCCACAGAACTTCCATGAGCACCAACATCAATTGCAACAAAACTGTAGTTGCCATCAGCAATGGCCATCAGGACTATGGAGAAAAACTTTTTATAGCTGAAATACTTGGAGCCACTGTTTGGGGGCATTTGAATGCGTATGAGTTTACCATCTAACACTCCAATGCAGTGAGGAAAGTTGCTGTTTTGATTGAAGTCATTGCTGATTTCCAACCATCGATCCTCTGTTGGTTCTGACATTACGATTCCCATTTGTACGTTCCATATTGCTTCACATGTCTCATGAACTATGTTGTGGATTGTGGCTTTGCCCAGAAGGTAATGGAAGTGGAGAGAAGAGAAGGATTCTCCAGTTGCCAAATATCTGGTAACCACTTCCTGTCCGGACACTTTCCCCCCCTTCCAGTCCGGACACTTTTCCCCCCCTTCCAGTCCGGACACTTTCCCCCCCTTCCAGTCCGGACACTTTCCCCCCCCCCCCCCCTTCCAGTCCGGACACTTTCACCCCCTTCCAGTCCGGACACTTTCACCCCCTTCCAGTCCGGACACTTTCTTTCACCCCCTTCCAGTCCGGACACTTTCCCCCCCTTCCAGTCCGGACACTTTCCCCCTTTCCAGTCCGGACACTTTCCCCCCCTTCCAGTCCGGACACTTTCACCCCCTTCCAGTCCGGACACTTTCACCCCCTTCCTGTCCAGGGCAATTTTCAGCTTTCAGCGCTATCACACTTTGAATGACAATTGCGCGGTCATGCAATACTGTACCCATATGAATTTTTTACCATTTTTTTGAGACAGATAAAGCTTTATTTTGGTGGTATTTATTCACCGCTGGGATTTTTATTTTTTTTTTGCTATGTAAATGAAAAAGTCCAAAAAATTTTTTTAAAAAGTGTTTTTCTTATAAAATTTTGCAAATAAATAATCTTTCATCATAAATCTTGACCAAAATTTATTCCGTTATATTTTTAGTAAAAAAAAAAAAATAAGCCAAATTAGTTTATAACCAAAAATTATAATTTTTAAACTTTTTTTTACATTTTTATTTAATTTTTTTATATTATTATTTATTTTTTTTTTTTTTTTTTTTTTTACATACTGTCACCCTAGCAGTACAGTGTCACCATGGTGACACTGTACTACTTGTGGGGGGTGATGAAGATTTTTTTTTTTTTTTACAGTGATTGCTTTTACACCCATATAGGATGTAAAAGCAATCATTTCTCTTTCTCTCTGTCTGCATTCTTGCAGCCATTGAGAAATACTGAGTGAGCTGTGATTGGTCACACCTTGTCACATGGTACAAGGCTGTTGTGAATAGCCTTGTACCATGTGACCTCTGTGATCATTCACAGATTTCACACGTAGTAAGCAATGATGTCAGGAAGTGACATCTTGCTTACTACTTTTGCATGTGATCACTGATTGGCCTATCAGTTATCACATGATCGGGACCTCGCACAGAGGTCCCCTCCGACGATCGGTGTTTCACTGTGTCCGGAGGACACAGCGGGCACCGGATCGTGGTGCTGCGCGCTCCCAAGGAGCGCGCACAGCTAGAAAAGGCGGGTGCCGTTTATGAACGGCAACCCACCCCTGGAGTGCCACCGCCCTGCCGTTTATAAACAGCAGGCGAACGGCAAGAGGTTAAAAATACACGTCATTAGTAATTTGATTCATTTATGTTTTTAGCATATATAAAGTAGGAAATTCATTGTGTGTGTTTTTTTTTTTTTTTTTGGGGGGGGGGGGTTCATCAAAGCTGTAGCAGCTGTGTATGGTCACAATTTAGGTTGCTCAGTACTGCTGATTTTTGGCCAATCACAGCTGCTAGTAATTCTGGCTCGTCCACTTTTGATACATTAAACAGTATTCTTGTACATGGCAGAACATACAGCTCTGTGTACACAACTGTGGCATACATTTGTTGTCACCTTGGATTACTTACCGCAGCGTGACTAATAGACGTTCTTCTGGAGACACTGGAAGCCTCAGTTTTGTTCTGTTGTGGATTAACCAGGGTCTAAGAATCTCCAGCATCAAAGGATGTGATTCTCATGGGGGCATAGTTCTAAAACCTCCGAGGGTAGGTGCGTCAATCATGATACAGGGCATGAAAGTACCCTTTAGATTATCTCTGAGAGACAATTGGATGTACCCAATAGCTCCTGGATGCCCTTCTCCTCTTCCTCTGCTCAGCCAGTTGCTCATACATCAGCATCATCTGCAGGAGACAGAACATGAGATGAAGCATGGTAAAGGAATCCATTTGGGTGCCTTCCTGATGGAGTATGCACAGGAAACATTCACCATGACAAGCCACACCTCAATTGCGTTATTTCTTCTTATGTCACTTCCTATGAAAAAAAAAGAAAAGAGCTTTTTTAATGCTTGCAAAATGCTTTAAAAACCGGCCATAGGGCGTTTGGGGAACGTTTTTAATGCCAGTCCATACCAAAGCTCATTAACGCCTGTATAACACGCCTGTACTAACCCTATAGGAGCATTTGTAAGGAGTTAGAAATGAGTCAAGTGTGAATGAGCCCTAAGATTCTCCGCTGAAATCACTTTATAGTCAGCTGCAAAAGATTGTAAATTTGGGTCCACAGTGACTGACCAGCATGATATTTCTAGCAATGCATTTGGTGCGCCTGGATAGCCTTAGTCACCCCAAGGTGGTCTAAGATCTCCCCATTTTGTGTTTGTTACAGTCCTTGGTGTCAGCCACTGGCAGGTCATAGTGGGCCTTCTGTCATTCCCTCGATAGGCCCACAGGTCCTGAAACCAGATATCTTCTCAGCCATCATCTGGTGTGTAAGCCTTTACTGTCACTGTGAGCAACAACGCCCTTCAGCCAATCCACTAGCTCATCCAACTGGGCCTTGACAGACTTATTTTGCACCTATATAACTGCACTACCTGGGATTGTATTAAGAAAGCCAAAGTCTCCTCATATGGTAGTTGGATTTTATGATGGACTCCTGAGGCTGAATGGGGTGATATGTTCTGAACCAGAGCTTTTATGACTTCCTCCATGCTGCCTTCAGAGGTTTTCAGCACCTGTGTTGCTCTGGCCCAAAACATGCAAAAATGGGCACTGGTCCTTTGAATGTTTGCTTTCCTTCCATTGGCTTTTTATGGCTAAATTACTAACATCAAAACACCAGCTGTAATCTTGGGGTACTCTTGGGGAGCCCAAGACCATCAGAAAAGCATCTTGGCAAAAGCAAAGCAGCCTTTTTTTTGTTCAAAGCTAAAACAAAACTCCTTGCTTGCATCATAAGAATGAACAAAACCAGCACACTCCTGGTCCACTTAAGCTTTTTTGGCTGACTGCCTGAAAAACTTGTCCCTTAACAAGGTCATGTCCCCAACTGCAGTCCACCGCTCTTGTTCCTAAGTTTGTTCTGCTTCACACTCCTCCTCACAGACACCTGCTAGCTGTTTCTTGTTCCTTTTGTGGACTCTTCTTCAGATGGGTTAATCCATTCAGGACCGAGAACCAATTCGGAGAGAAATTAAGGGTGTAGAGAACTGAAATCAGTCCTCTCTACTTTAACTGGACTACCCCGGAACCACTCACCCTGTATGGGTGAGAAACCATGAATATTCAAAAAATGTATTTTATTGTTCCCCTTTATAAGACCACAACCCAAATAGCAAGGGAATCTATTTGCCTTCCAGGACCCCTACCTGGTGTCCTGTACAATTTGTGGTATGCTACCTAGATGTTGGTTTTAAATATTGTTTTATATAATTGTGTAATAAAAGATTTGTGTAGCACCCTCCTAGGTATCTAGGGGAGCTAGAGTTCTTATTTTAGCTGGAAGGGCTGAGTAGAAGGCCAGGTGTAATAGTCAGGTACTCTGAAGACCATCTTTCTGAGACTTCCCCCTGCACTAGAACTTTGGAGAAAGTTCCAGAAGCAGTGGGCGGAGGTAAGGAGTGGCTGGTCTGCACTCTCAAGAGATCCTGGCCAATCCCCAACAGGAGACTTGGCATGGGGCCAGGACAGCCCGAAATGTTGGCTATACGTTATACAATTTTCTTTAGAAAATTCAATTTACTTTAGATTTATCTTCAACTATGTAGTGCAGGAGCTTGCCTGATTGCATACAAATTGAAAGTGTTTAGGTTTGAATAAATATTATATGGTTTTGTAAATCTAAAGGAAAATTGTACTAGAAAATTGTATAATGTATTTCTAGCCTAAGACTGTTGGAGCCTGCTCAGCAGAGGGGAGAAGTGAGGCAGGAGAGCAGGAGCCTGGGAAGGAACCCAGGTAGGAAGGGGCCTACCTACATGCAGGTACTGTTGGAAGGAGGAAAGCTTGGGACTTCACCTGCCCCCCCCCGAGTGAGAACCACCTATGCAGCAGGGAAGGAGCAACCCAGCCTGATGGCAGCCACTAACCCTGCAGCAGCATAAAGAGAAGGACTAAGTGAGTAAACCTGCACCTCCTGGGCCAGTAAGGAGAAGGAGCACTTCAGTGGGAAAATGGATTAGCTACTGCTCTGGACTGTCTTCTCTTAAAGTGAAAGGCAATAATCCCCTTCTAAGGGTTTCACCCAGAAAATCTGGATGAGTATCTAGGGTAGCACTGCAGGGATTATGGCTAGCTCTCCAAGAAGAAGGATCTGTTATTTGCTGTTAAAGAGACTTGAACATAGTTCAGGAAGATTGTCATTGAAGTTGCCATTAGTCTTGGGCATCCCATACCCCCTTACCCTATCCAAGTTCTAATTTCCCCTGATAAAAATCTAAAACACAAGCTGAAGGATTGGTTACTGTCTCCTGGATGCAAGTCTGAGTGGAAAATGCAAGTTGCCTGCTGTGCAGGACTATAGGGGGGCCCAAAACTTCAGCAACGCCTAAGGGGGGTAATGCTACAGATGTTTATAATTTATTTCTGCAGTATTTAGATTTTTTATCACATTTTCAATCACCTGTCCCAACTTTGTGGGAAGAGTTTGGGGATGGCCCCTTCCTTTTCCAACATGACTGCGCACCAGTGCACAAAGCAAGGTCCATAAAGACATGGACGAGTGAGTTTGGGGTGGAGGAACTTGACTGGCCTGCACAGATTCCTTACTTCAACCCCATAGAACACTTTTGGGATGAATTAGAGCAGAGCCTGTGAGCCAGGCCTTCTCGTCTGATATCAGTGCCTGACCTGACAAATTTGCTTCTGGAAGAATGGTCCAACCTTCCCATAGACACCCTCCTAAACCTTGTGGATGGCCTTCCCAGAAGAGTTGAAGCTGTTATTGCTGCAAAGGGTGGGCCGACTCAATATTGAACCCTATGGACTAAGACTGGGAGACCATTATTGTTTTAAAAGCTTGGGATATGTTGCACAGACAAAAGGGATGGGTTTTTAATTCACAGTTAATGCCACTAAGGAACTCAGAATATTTCGCTCCTGGGAAGGAAGATATCACAGGGAATTGGATCATAAAACAAGATGCACAATTGAGAGATATAATGGTGGGCGAGGAAATAGGATCATATAGAGAGTTGGAGAAGAAAAAGGGAGAGGTTTTCAGTAGAATGGATGAATTACGATATCATCAATTGAAATATGTCTTTGGGAGTCTTCCAAAACCTGTGAGAACTAAAAAAGAGTGGAATATATTTGAGAGATTGTTAGAAACACGGGGGGATGGGAGACACGGAGTTGCAAAAATTTATAAAACATTAACGGAATTAGACACGGGCACAAAATTAAATATATATAGAGAAATGGGAAAAAGATATGGGAAGGGAAATAGATGAGGAGCAGCAGAGGAAAATGTTTAGATTAATTCACGAAAATATTAGTATGCAGGAAATGGAGTTGAACTATAAGTGTTTAGTAAGATGGCACATCACACCAAACGTTGAGCACAAATGTGGTGAAGTGGGTACGTTATATCACATATGGTGGGATTGTTTAAAGATACAGGTGTTTTGGAGGTAAATTGTCTACATAGCAAGGAAAATTACAGAGATCGATATTAGATTGGATCCAGAATTATGTCTTCTCCATGTCACAGAACTCTCAGTGAGATCATATAAGGATTCAGGAATATGGCATTTCATGAGCGCAGCTAAGAGTCTTATACCTAGGTTCTGGAAAAAAAAGGGAGGCGCCGACAGAGGCAGATTGGATAATTAGAATGAATCAGATTTGTGAGATGTAAAAAAATGGTATTATATGCATACAGATATGATGGAGAAGTATTATATAAAGTGGAAAAAATGGGAAGAATATAGAGAAAAAGTGAAATATTTGATGATGATTTATACCCCTTGAAATAAAAACGGTTTTTAGAAATGGTTTTTAGAGAAGAGAAATGCAGAATGGGAGGGGGGGGGGGAGTTTTGAAGGAGTTAGGGGGGTTGGGGGATAGGGAGGGTAGGGGAAGTGGGATATAGATAAATTATGTCAATTGGAATATATTGATTTGGTGTGTTTTTGTATTATATAGAAGATGGTGATTGTGATTTGCATTCGGATGAAAATTTTATAAATATTTATAATAAAAAAAAAAAAAGACTTGGAGACCATAAAAGTTCATGTGCATGGAAAGGCAGGTGGCCCAATACTTGGGGCAATATAGTGTATATCTTCTGCTGGATATAGAAGCAGAAAGATCTGATGGGTGAAGGTTAGAACTGAAACAGAGCAGTAGAGCACAAACTCCTCCTGACAGTGGACCTCATATACTGTAGATTCCAATTATGTATGTCCTAGGAGCCCCAGTCCATGGACACTGGAGAGCTGCAGGCGGTATCCATAGTTACAGTAGCCCCTATTTTCTATTAAATAAAAGGATAACAGTAATAAACAGTTTACAGTGTACCAAGCACAAACATATTGCATCCAAGCATCAAAATCCCACCCCACACAGAAAAATTCCCTAAAACATCCCCATCATGTCCGAAAGGCCAAGAAAGGGAGGCAGATGCTCACAGGCAGCTAAGAGAGGGCAAGCAGCCTCTGTGTCCATAGTGACAAGTGGTGGTTGTGGACATGATGTATCCTCTGCAGGCAGGGCACGCTTGTCCTTTGTTTCTGGTGATGGCCATATTATTGAGCCTCAACATGTAGAAGAGGTGGTGGAAGGGATAATTCAGCCATCCTCATCCTCCTCATCCTCTGTCACTCAGGCTCATACTATTTTGCCTTCCACCGCAGCTGCCAAAGCGGCCTGTTCCAAAGGTTCCTTGTCACCACAGCTGCTCCTTTCGTAGCCCCACCATCATATACAGAAGAGTCTCCTCAATCATTTGATCATTGTCAGTCTCATGCTGCTGAAGGATGTGCAGCAATTGGAATGCTCTGATGTTGGTTCCTAGGATAAGGAAGGGAGACGTGAGCCTAGAGAGAGGGAGTGCCAGTGAGGGAAAAGAAATTGGCAGTCATGTTCCCCCAGCCACAGCACACTGCCAAGCTGAGGGATGATGAGGTCACTGACTGTACTTGGGTGCCTGAGAGAACACAGGAGGAAAGTGAGGAGGAGGCAGAACTCCATCGAGACAGGATGTCCTTCAGGGGCAGATGTAAGGACAGCCAACCAGTGGCATTACATGACAAAGCTCCACAGGTGTAGGGGGCTGCTGACACCTGTCTGACTTCCAAAAGTTCTGGGGTGTGACTTTTTTCAACATATGTGCAGCAGACTGAAGCATCGCTATTTTTAGTCTCTGAATCAGATCAAGCGTGGCCAAAACACCAGCAGCTTGGGCACCACATGCTTGACAACCCATTGGCAACAGCACCTGAAAGACCCACATCCAAAAAAAGTGCAGACTTGTTCCTCATCTGGGATCTCTACCTCCTCTGTAAAACATCAGGTCTTCTCAAAAGTCTCCACTGAGAGGAGTGATGGTACAGCAATGGGTGCCACAGGTCCTCTGCTAGCAGTATACCACCTGTTGATTTCAGCATGCAAATTTTCCTACCCCATTTGCTGAACCATGAAAAAAAAATTCTGTCCCACCCATCCACATGCTCAGCATCTAAATGCTAGCCTGGCCATATTTCTAGTATTACAAATTCTGCCTTTCCATCTGGTGGACTCTGCCCCCTTCCGTTGAATCTGCAGAATGTGCTGTACCACAGTGGCAGGTTCCAAAAAGACAATTCTTTTCACATAAGGCCATTCCAGCTCTATACCATCAGGTGGAAGGCACTGTTTTGGCCTCGTTGGACAGGGCAGTCAGCAGCAAGGTCCACATTACTGCTGACACGTGGTCCAGCAGGCATGGTCAGGGACAATACATATCCTTCACGGCACACTTTGTAACTCTGCTACCATCAGGGAAGGATGTAGGACAGGGTTCAGTGCTGGAACCTGTTCTGCCACCACACCTCCAAACATCTAGTGGAGATTCTGCACATCTGTCTGCTCCACCCCCTCCCCTTTCTCTGCCTCTATGGCCTCTTCTGCTGAATTGCCATCTGAACCAGCAGTGCTCCATAATTGTTCAAGGGGCTACACAAGCAGTCAGGCTAAAAGATGCCACGGGGTGCTTCAGTTGGTCTATCTAGGGGACAGTAGCCACACCGGGCAAGAGATTCTGTCAGCTCTGCAGGGGCAGGTTCAGAGATGGTTGGCACCATGGCAGATTGAACCATGAATGGTTGTGTGCGACTATGGCACCACCCTTCTCTCCACCCTCTGACAGGGACACTTGGCACATGTTCCATGCATGGCACATGTCCTGAATTTGGTGGTGCAGTGTTTCCTGAACAGGTACCCACGCTTTCAAGATTTTCTGAGACAGGCCAGACAAGTCTGTGGCCATTTCCTGCATTCATACACAACCAGTGTCTGGCTGGCTGACATTCAACGGGAATTCAACCTGCCCACCAACCACCTCATTTGTGATGTGCCCACCATGTGGAACTCAACATTAGCATTGCTGAAGCGGCTGCACACACAGCAGAGGGCCAACAATGAGTATCTGTGTGAATATGGCACAAGGACAGGCTCAGGGGAGCTTGGCTTCTTTTCGCCACACCAATTACTGCTGAAAAGGATGCATGCACTGTCCTGTCACCAATTGAGGAGGCCACAGAGATGGTGAGCTGTGACAATGCATGCATCAGTGACATTATCTC